AATGGCTGCCCAGAACCCATGTCAAACTCCCAGTCAAACTTGTCAGCACGATTGCAAAGACATTCCCTAGAGCAGTGCCACAGGAGGCCACGAAAGCTGTTTTTTTAGCCACTGACTGTCACTGGGTGAGAAGCACCTGTGCGATCATAGTGTTTTCGACGCGCCCTTTATAGAAGGTTAACGGTTATAGAAGATGTCGCTGAACAGTGTTGTGTTTGGTGGCTAGTTCGATGTTCTGCCAGTGGTTTTTAAGCATAACTGACGATGAACACAGTTGCCGAAAACAATTCAAGATGAACCAAACCTAACAAGGCCGCAACTCCTTGGACATGTTTTGGTGCAAAATGTCAAAGCCATCGAACCATTGTAGTTTGCTTCGTGGTACTGCCAGGAATTGGGGCGATCAATCAGCAAAAACTCAGTCGATCTCAGAAAGAAGATCTAGACCTTGGATTGGTTCGAAGAAAATGATAGGACATGTTTGTCTATAACTGCTGGCTGGTTTGGAGGAGTGTGAACTGGTGTCATAGAAAAATGATCAAAATAATCTTAGTGACTTCAACGGCTAACCCTCCTCCAGTTCGTCGTCGTCAACGAACTCACCCTCCTCCTCTTCCCCTTCAGCAGGGTCCGCAATCGCATCATCGCCATCCCCGGCGGCGGTCTCGGTCGCCTTCGTGTTCTTCGCCTTCGCCGCTGCAATCATAGACGCCTGGCAGACGCAGGCGGCTCAAAGAAGTTTGTTTTTTTAAGAACATCAACGAAGATCAGGGTTGAACATGTTTAGTACCACCCACTCACACCCACACCTTCAGAGCACTAGCGGCATCGAGGTTGCCATTTGTTCTCAAGAGCTCATTCCTCAAAGCCACCTCAATGCCCAACATGTTTGGAAATGCTCTCATTTAGATCAGTTCCCACCCCTGTTCTGCTGCCAAATGGCCGCGATCTCTTCCAAATCTTGAGGACTGACACCCTCCACGGGGTACAACTTAGTTCAGATGACATCCAGGTTTCTGTGAAACCTTTGTGAAACCTCTTTTTGTTTGCATCAAAAGAAAATTGACAAACATGAATTGAAACTTGGGAACGCGAAACTTCTCTTGACCATTGATCTTGAAGCCATATTTGCCGCACTTGTAGAGACCTTTGTGCACCGTGATTGGCCTGTCTCCAGGAGTTGCTGTCTTCGGGTTCCTCAACGCCGAAGGCCTTTTCATCACCTCGGATTCCTCGGGGTCGTTTGCTGTGGCAGCATCGCGAGTTGGGTCCTCCTCCCGTGTAGCTGGCCGCTTGCTTGTGCCAGACCCCTGTTTGGTTTTTGCCTTCGGTTTCGGTGCAGACTTCACTTTCAATGAGTTTTTCTTTGGTTCACTCTTGGGCTTCGATTTGGCCTTTGCGGCGCCCTTTCCTTTTGCCTTGGGCTTTGGCTTCGGTGCAGGTTCTGCCTGACTTTGACTTTCATTGGCTGGGGTCTCAGAAGGATGTGCATCCACATCCGACAACTGATCCACAGGGGAGAGAGCCATTGCGTTCATGAGGTCGAAGTACCCTTGCATCTATAGGTAGTATAGTTGAGCCAATCCGATGCACACCCCTACCGCGAAGAGGAATTTTGAGACACGTTTGACTTGCTTCAAACTGATCTTCTAAATGTTGCTTCTAAAATTGCACCTGGATGGACGATAGCTTAACGGTTCTTGTTTTCCAGCGAGCGAAGGCACTAAGTGAGCGCTTCATGGTTGCTACTTGTACGCGCTCCCCACATGGATGGCTCGTGCTTTCAGGGTCAACGTGAAATTGTTGATAGATAGTAAACATCATGTTAACATCCAACTATTGAAACATATTAAGTGAAAAACTAAATGGGTAACCCCTCGACCTATGAGCCACCATGTTTTTGGCGCACCAACCATGTGCCAAAAGCTCAACCCCCATAGGAACATAACTACTTTAGTTTGATGGCTTTGCCTCCTGGAATGTTCACCTGGCACAAAAGGTAATACTTTGGCTTGGTCGGCCGAAACATCGCCGGCACTTCGTCGCCAATCTTCACCTGGCCAGGGTTTCAACGCATTTGAGGTCATGACCCTTGGATGGTGCAGATGGTTGGGCTCCCCAGTCTAGACTGGGGTGGCTGGGAAAATACTCTCTACCCATTGAAGCGCCTCCCAAATCAAAGCGCAGTGATCCGCACACGGGATTTGGTTGTAGCGTTTGTGGAAAATTGCCCCCAGCTCTGCACTCCGCAAAGAAGACCAATCTGTGTCGGACGGGAGCTCCTTTGGCTTGAAAGCGTTCACAGTGGTTGATGGAGTCAGGCCATAGCGATAGGGAAGTGGGCGGTCAGCCTGAGGGCATTTGGGAAGGCACGATGTTTGTAAGGCACAAGAACTTACCAGCTAGAAAAAGGTGAGTTGAGACCCCTTTGCAAAACTGACCCATCCCCCACCATACGAGCCTGAACCTTTGCTGTGATATCATGATCAAGCATGCGGACTTCAGTAATGCCACGGTCTCGGCTGACTCCGCACATCACGTCGGCTACTGTTTTGATGGACTTCTCTGGGGTCAGGCTGACCAACTGGATGTCCTTCTTCAAAAGCCACAAGATCATCTCGCTCGATGGCGCATCTGGCAGGATTAAACATTGGAATACTGTTCAGGCAAGTTTGGAACCCCCAAAAGTTCTTATTGAGGTTTGAACATGTTTGAACGATTTTGGGAGCATTCTGCCTGACTGGGCTTCCACATAAGCCCCAAGGCCAACCCAGCTTCCAGATCAATGGCTGCGGCACCCCTGTTGACGATCCAGATCTCATTGGCGCTTGTCACAGCCACTTGAAGCGATGTGCAGCGAGCAAGGGTTGCGCAGCCACTCAACCTGAGCCGGTTTAAATAAAGTTCCTTAAAAGTTGAACCGTTTTCACCCTGAGCCCCAACTAAAGAAGAATATGCCTATCACGAAAATGTTCTCTTCCATGAAAGAAACGTGTGGTTGCTATCAAAGGTCCCCACCTCCAGGGCAGAAAATGGAATCTTCTTACGCCAGTTCCAGACCACCTCGCCGGCCCAGTCTGGCGACGCTGTGGTCCGAGCTGCGTTGGGCGCCTCAGGGACATGTGAAGACCCTTGGTGCCAGGAGCGGACAGCATCCAGTGTGGGTCCCTCCTCTTGGATCTTGTCTTCCGCAGCCTTGATCCCATCGGACTGGGACATGTACTTCTGCAAGACCATTTCTGGGATCCTAGGCTCCAACCAAGGGATATGTGAGTGCTAGTGAGAGGGGAACAAAGGAAAACATCAAAACCATCCACAGTGCCTTTACTGAAAGCAGTGCCTTTTCTGTAGCACAGTTTTGCTGAAAACAATCCACAGTGTCTTTACTTCACCGTTGGTGACTGAAAGGCAAGTCAGGTCGGGCAAAGATTCCGGGAATGTGGCGGTCGCCCTGCTCTTGGGGCCAGCAAGTTCACAAGAGTCCCACCACTCCTTCATGATTTTCCCCCTGATTGCCTCCTCGTGGGCAGCCTTGTCCTTGGAATCGCTGTGGTACACGGAAAGGAACCGCACATCGATGCGCTTTGTCGGCTCCGCCAGAGATTCCCGCTGCTTCTCCCAGGCAGCCATGCCCCATTCCGCGAACCTGTCAAAGGCAGCTTGTTCGAGGAGGCTTGATACCGGAAGTAAATTGATCACAACACATTCAAACACAATCTATTTTTATATATGTCATATATGTATATTATTCAAAGGAAACCATGTATTTTCCCAAATCCCCACCGGCTTGGGAGAAGATCCACAACCAAGAGCTCTTGAGCTTCCCCGGAAGTGACGCCCTCACAAAGCTCATTCAGAATGGACACTGTTGCTGATGTTCCACGTTGCTGGACCTTGCCCAGTGAGCTTCTAGGTTGAACCATGTTAGATTATATTGTTTGGAGTATTGTTTGGTGCCAGCTAACTGAGTGAAAACTAAGAGTGTTGCAACGCCACTGCACTCCAAATCACTCCGGTAATGAAACGATGCTTTCACAATGGTTTTAACTTTGAACAGGCCACCCGCCAGTGAGGCGCTAACGCCTGGTCCGGTTCTGGGTTGACCAAGTCAGAGACTCTGGCCCTCTGGATGTTTGTGATGCTTCCCAACAGCGCACGCGATCGGCTCCAGGTGGAAGTATTGCTGTTCATCATTCCAGCAAGGCCTGGAACTGAGAATGGAGCTTGGGTCGATTGCGACATGTATTTTCCCACACCAGTCCGCCCTACAACGCCCCACTTGATAAGATTGGTTGGGGTGATAAGTCTTCAAAAGTAAAATAGATTCTTCAATAACAAGCAAGTTGGTCAAAGTGGTAACGACTGATTCAGGCAGGAAACATTGTTGGGACAATTTTCTTTTGTCCCCCCCATGGTCTGACTGGCTGAAGTTCAGTGCAATCTCGAAGTAGTCCATTGCCCTCATTTGGAGCTAACAGTCGATCGAGTTTGATCTCAGTGGTGATTGAACAAACTACAAAACACACAGAAGTCACAAGGTTTGGAACTCCCTGCGCCAAAGTACCCGTGGACCTTGTCCTCCAGGAGCCTCTTGTTCTTGTGGACCGATTGGCGGTGGGAAGTGTTCCATGCTTGAGGAAGCAGGAAAAAGCAAAGGGTCCTATTGTTCCCGGTGCTGACGCTCTGGCAGACCTGGATGCACTCATCTATTGCCAGGGCGCCTCAACAGACTGATGAAGGCTAGACAAATGCTAATTTGGTGTTCTATCAGTTTTGTCAACAATGTCTATCTTTTGTCGAATAACGAGCTGGCCACAGAGTTGCGTCGACCACCAGGATTGTGAGCCTCAAGAATTGGCCAGTGGGCTAGTGGGCTTCAAGGTGGGCTTCAACATGTTCAAAATGTCTAACCAAATCTAATCAAGTAGCCCATTCGGACCCATAGACTGCTGCATGGAAACGATTTGAGAATGAGACATCACCAAGTTGTTGACAGTCATCAAATGATGCTTTTCATCCATGAGCTTGTTGATAGCAGTTTTGCCACGTTGAAAGCGGTCATTGATGTGCTTGTAGTCCAAGGCAGCCTGTTCCAAGACTGTCATCCCAAAGCCCCCATATGAACCCTTCGGGATTGACATGACTCATGTAGCGCACATTACAAGAGTCTTGAGAGCCCGCCTGCTGGGATGCGTGCATGGAGAACCGCTCCCCCCAACTCTTCAGCTTCCCCAAATCTTCCAGGATCTGGAGCTGGGTTTGTTCCCACGTTGTTTGGAGTAGTCGGTGTTGTAACCTTACATGAAAACAGCTGATCCACTTGCAATCTAACTGGCTAACAAACCACTTGGGGTGCGATTGACTTTCAATCTAGCCAATACGACGAAGGACTCCGCTGCCTTGTCCTTTGTCTCCTTCTCGACCTTTGGCTGGAAGGCATGCAAGAGTGGGCCAGAACCAACCCCGGTTGTTGCAATGGTGGATTGTTGCTGTCAAAAGATGGTATCAAGAAGACAACTGATGTATGAGTTACTCTTTGCAATCACAGGGCTTGCATGCGATACGCCGTCAAGTGATTGGAGAAGATGGTGATCTTGCTGAGATCGCATGGGGGGACTGAAGACTCTAACATCGCCATGAGGTCAGCGTCCCCATGTCGCAGTTCAAACCTCAGCTTTGGGCGGTGCATTTCAGGACAGCTTGGTGTGCGTTGGTACTTTTAGGGGACTAGTCTGGCACAAGATATTGAGATTCTGTGACAATGTTGTTGACTCATGTGACTCATGGTTTACTGTACTGTCGATGTGTATGAAGCCAAGTATGATGCCTAGATACGCCTTGTGAATTTCCACCAGTGCACTATCAGCAAAGCTCTTGGGAACTGTGGTGATAAACTGCGCAATGCAAGCGTGAAACGCCCCGCAGACCCGTTGTAGCGCTTCCTTGGCTGTAAAACGATTGCAGCAACATTCCACACATCACGTGAAAACCACTGTCACTGTCACACCCCTTCTGCACTTTGGATTATTCATTGCAATCGTGTCTCAAGGTCTTTCTGACTCCAGGGTTTCCTGCTTTTGACGGCCAAAGATGTAAAATCCTTCTCCATCCGTGTCATGACCAACAAGAGTAGGTTCTCATTGTTGGTCAGGGAAGCTTTCCATGGAAGGAGGCATCCAGAGGCACTG